GGAGATTATAGGAATCTGGCTGTTTAGGGTCAAGGACACCCTCAGAGCAGTCACCCTAAGGCAAGAATAGGCCATGGGGAGTCAAATCTACTGCCCCCTTAGGACCCAGATGAGTTTGGAACAGAGGGGAATCTGATAAAATGTATAAGAGAACTGCACAGGACAGCCACCCCACAACAAAGAATTATCTTGTCCAAAATGTTAATAGTGCTGAGATTGAGAAACTCTAATCTAGAGAAAGCGCTACAATTTTTTGTCATCAAAGTATGAGTTTCTTGTGTTCAGAACCCAACTCATTGAGCTATTGGTATTCAATAATTAGCAGAGCACCCTGTGAATAGATAATAAATCCAACATAATCCAGTTCTCTTTTGAAAAGTAGCCATTTCCATTTCCACAGTTCCTCCCCTGAAATTATCTGAAAGGGAAATGTCACTCAGTTAGAAGGCTCCAGCTTGCCGGATAACAGGAGGAAAGTGCTTCACAATATCTTTCCAGAAATGAGAAGAGGACAGAGTGTACTCAGAAACAGAGGTGCAAGCAAATGAAGGTTACTGACAGCCAAAAACACTGAGACTGGTAAACATCATGATAGCTGGACAGAGAAGGAATCCCTGTATCCATATGATGGCCGTTTGACATGAAGGAATAGGAGTAAACATCAAGGGTAAAGTAGCTTATATTTTATTGAAATAAACTAGGTGAAAGATCATATCTTAAATGATATGTCTTCAAGCATGTGCTACATCAAGGTCTTGACAGCATCATTTTCCCAAGAGATGTGCCAGTAAATTTAAGTAGTTTCCAAGTTATAAGTATCTTGATTACCAAAGAGCAGCGGGATGCAGAGCCTGACCAGTAAAATCAAAGGATTGATGGCTTCCTCTTCACACTCCTGCCTTTATTTTCCCCTGCATGGCTCATTATTCTGCTGCATTAATTTAAGCTTTCCTATTGCACTGAATTAAGGGCTTAAATTCTCTTATCATCCCTGTGAGAATCTTGATTGTTTATTTGTGGATGAGAATAATTGTTTTTATTGATCCCCAAATGTGGAAGGTAAAAAAAAAATGCTATGGTTGATGGCCAGCTCATACATAGTGCTGCGTGCATGAGTGACAAATTATGAAACAGTACTTGGCCCCAGAGGATACCCTTTAAGAATTTTTAAGGCATTTGATAGTTATCATTTTGAGGCATTTGATAGTTATCGCTAAGTCTTTCCAAGCTGGAAATCATAAACAATTTCACATACATCAGGCAAAGTCTTTTTGTTGTAGTTTTCATTGAAACTTAAAGGTCTAGTTGGGTGTAATTTATAACTTCTCATTTCTAGTATGTTCACACAGCAACCCAGTAGAGTTTGGAAATGGTGCAGCTACAGGACGTTCCAGAGCCAGTGTCATCAGGGCAGTGAGTTCCTCTAGGGACCTAGATTACTAGGCATTTATTTGAAAGAATTCCTGGATTCATCCAGAAGTTGTCATTATTCCACTGCAAGCATCACTATATGGACATTGACTTCAAATAGTTAGAGAAAAAAACTGCTTTGCTAGCCCTAGCTTGTACTGTGGGTAGGAAACCCCATGCCATTTAACATCCCAAATATATCAGAGGCATCAGGGAAAGGAACTGCAACTGTCTAATTAAGTGCTATTTGTAGGACAGGGCACTTGGGCAGTATGAGCCTCCCCCATCTGAATCAAATGCAACACATCTTGTTTAAAGAGCTATTGAGTTAATTAGCATGGCCTGTCTACACAGAAATAAAACAAACCAGGTTAGGTCCTAAAGGAATCAAGGATCAGAAATGTGGTAAAGTTTCCTTATTAGGTGGTAAGAAGGAAATATCTTTGACCAGATGCCAAACCCTGAAATTCTTGATCCTCTTTTCCTGTGGTAAAGAGAACACAGATATATAGAGAAGCCACTACGACCATTGCATCTTCTTTATTCTTTGAGGGCTCTGTTCTGAAAGCTTACTGTTGAACCTTCAGAAATGACTGTGTGGGCTGGACTGGAATGAGTCAGGAGAGCTTGTTTTGCAGAATAAGTGTCCATATGTCACAAAGAGGATCTTCCTCTTTTTCCTGGAGATATATTATCTTTGTCTTTGATAATTAACACATCTGTGAAGGGACCACATCAAAGGGAGGGCGATTTTTCCTAATTATGATTTTTTTTTTCGCACTGAAATTCACCTTTACCCTTAGCACTATGGTTCAGTTATGGCCTTGGCCTTGGTCAGCCATTGCAACACCTTCCATGAGTGGCAGTGTAAAGGAGTTCTCCCCATGAAAGTTTTGTGACCATTGTCGCTACCATTGCAAGGTAAAAACTTTATACCCAGCTTATCTTTTTATATATACTGCATACATTTAGTATCATGCCTGTCACACAAGGGAGCACGAAATGTGATCTGACCAATTCACGTGTTTGCTCATTACAATATCCGATATGCATGGAGCATGGTACTGCACAATGGTTAAAACTTAATTACAGACTGTTGAGGGTGATGATCACAGAATCATTTGATTTTTAAATGAGAAGAAACCTTGGTTATGACTTAGTTCAACCATCTCATTTTAGACACAAGGAAAATAAGACCCAAAGAGGCTAAATAAGTGTCCAAAGCCTCATGTTCGAGTAGTGGCAGAGCTGCAATATCAAACCAGATATCCTCACTCCAATTCTGACTGCACTCTGTGTTGACTCTGAAACACATGGCTGTGCTTTGTTGCACGGTATTGTGATCAATTGTTTTAACATGTGTGCCTCCCTCACTAGACCATGTACTCGTAAGAAAATATTCATCACCAGGCTCCTAGCACAGTCAGTGGCACATAATAGGATACCAATAAATGTTGGTTGAAAAAGTGAATAAATGAGTAAATACATGAGACTTGTTTTTTTCCTCATCATGTAGAAACAAACAAATGCCGTAACTTTTAGTGATCTCTACGAGTGCTTGGTCAGCGTAATAATGAAGAATAGACAATATAGGGAGTGGAAGGTAGAAAAAATAGTATGAGAAAGAAGAGAAAAAAAAAAGAATACACAATTCCATAGGAATAATAACTAGACAAATTCAGTACATAGACAAAATGTTTAGATTCAATTTGGGAACATTTTGTCAAGACTCGTGCCTCCTCTGATCTCTTCTCATTTTCCAATAAGGGCTTTTTAAGCAGATGGTGCTTTAAACAATTCCCATCATTGCTGCTCCTCCTCAGACCCCAGAATGCAGGATTGACTTCAGGTTAAGTTGTCTAAAAGGCAAAGTTGTTCGTTAGTGTATCTCACTTCCCTGAGATATGTCTTCCCACTCATTTTGCATCTATTGCTGCCCCATGTTGCTGCTACTATCACAGAGGAAAGTGCACGTAACTCGCTGTGATCTGGTTTCTGGGATATTTTCCATACGTCAGAAGATACGAAGGAATGGCTACTTAAGCAGTGACATTTAAGACTCAGTGCCAAGTATGCAGAGAGGAGGTATATGGGCTGAGTTTGTGTCTCCTTGTGAATCACCCAAAGTCAATGCAAGTAAAGGCTAAAAAATCCAATCATCTACCCCCACTGTGAGTTTGTGTGTTTCCTGAAATGCTGGCATGTTGTAAGTAATTTGACACTAAGTAGTGCCTGTTAAAAAGAAGCAGCAGCAGCAGCAGCAGCAAAGGATTCAAGGCTCCTAATTATAGCACACTGATGGCTTGGTGCTGGGGTGTGCATCAACAATATTGAGCAAGTACTGGCTGGAGGGCTGAATCCAGACAGCGGTTATCAGTATCTAAGTGTCAGTTTCAACTGGCTGTGCTCCTGTAGGCCAAGAAGTCTACATGGAAGGTAGACCATTTAATCTTTTTCAGAGGTGTTGCTACACAGCTGTCAAACAAATTGGGCTAGTCCAAATGCCCCGTGGAGAGAGTTTTAAGGAGATGGGCAGTCATCTGTTTTGAATGGATTGAGTCACATTGGCTAAAGACAAATATGGAGATCCAGTTTTCACTGAAAATTCCTTTGAACCATTTGGAACTTGGCAGATGCCCAATCAGCACTGCATCTAAGTACATCCCCACCCTCCCACTCAGTTCCTGCATTTCCCAGATCTTCTTTGAACATACCAACCATACTTCCGTATTTGTGATTTTGTCCTTGCCCTTCCCTCTTCCTGAAATACCTTTTCCTCATGTGGTCCACATAGCTTCTTCCTCCTTGACCCTCCCCTCTGTCTTTTTCAGATCTTTGTTCCCATGATCAAAGAAGCCTTTCCTGGCCAACTTTTATAACATAGCTACCTCCAAATCCAATCCACTGGCCTTCGCAAAGACAGAAGCTTTCGTTGTTTTGATCGTTATTGTATCCCCAGCCTCCAGAACAATGATTACCATGTCGCTTGTTCAATGGAAATACAATGAAGTTGATAATGTAGGTCTTAAAAAGGAAAAGTCTTGTCTTATAATGCCTGGAAAACAGTTAAGGAAATCTTTTCAGATGCTTTCATTTCAAGTTAATCACATACACTGCATGTAAGTTACACTTAGAAACCCAAGCAGCCTTTAAGAAAGTAGTAATATGTCCAGGTAAGCAAGATAGCACTATTATCATTCAGTACCCATCCAGGCTCCAAGCAGCTTTAAGAGAACCTTTCCTCTGATAGACAGCACTAATTTGTGTCTTATGGAAAATTAAATAAATTATTTTTCACCTGAAGGGAGCAGGATTATTTGACTTCAGATATTTGCCATATGGCTTCTCTTGCACACAACATAGCTTTGAGGCTTAAGGTAGTAAGAGCAAGAGCATTCCTATAAATTATTCAGAGATAATTCAAAATAAGTGTGCATCTTTGACATATTGTCAAGTTTCTCAATGCTTTTTCCTGATAACAAGTGCTATGTTTTTGATGAAATGTTGCTTGTTTCTCACACACCTTATTGTTCTGTGTGTGTGTTCTGTGTTTTGTCCTGTTGGTTATTGTTTGTTTTAATTTCCCTCAGAGTCCAGTCTGGCTCGTATCTCAGCACAGGGTGGTTTACCTTCATTCTGGCCATGGACGCCTGTTATGGCATTCACGTCTACGGGATGATAAATGACACCTACTGCAAGTAAGATCACAGGAAATTATTTTTATGCAGCTCCAATTCTGAGATCTTGTCAAAATATCACAATTCATTTTAATACCATAAATCTAAGAAACAGATAAAGCAACAATTATTTCCCAGTGTTCTTTGCTGACATGACATTTTATTGTCAGTGCATCAAGTTGTGACTTCTAGGGGTGATAAAAAGAAAAATATTTACCAGTCTAATGTCAAGTGTCAGGAGGAACACTTTTCCCTTAATCAGTGGCATAGCAGGAACTTGTGGCTTGAAAATATAGAAGTTTAGTGGTTGTTTAATTTGCAAAAGCAAGTTTGTCATTTCTGCTGCTAATGGCTTGATGGATAGCTATCTCCTCAATGGTTAGTTAGATCTGATCATGAACGAAAAAATGTCCTGAAGCCTCAGAGAAACTGACAGCTTAACAAGAATTCCTGGAAATTATACTTCACTAATAAGTGAGTAATCTGCCAGATCCTTATTTAAAATGAGTGTGTTTACCCACAGTATATCCTCGCTAGTGGGATAGTTTCTAATTAGATAATAAAACAAACCCTCCATGCTTCATCAGGATAATGAAATCTATTTCCCTACCAACAATTGGCACAATATAATTCACAGACTGTTTTAATCATAATGTCAAAATGGTAACTCTCAGCCACAATCATCATGGACAAATATTTCTTCCCTAACTATAAGCATAATGGAGCTCAGATGAACCTAGTATCTTACTGTGAAAAATCACAGTTTCTTCAGGTTCTGCAAGAGGCTATCTGAAGTTTCTTCCATTACACACCATTTCTTTTTTCAAAGAATAGCCATATGTTTGAATGTAATTGGCATGATATATAAATTTTATTTGATCTATTAAGCCACTAAGAACCTGGTACATCTTCCTAAAAGCTTTCATACATATAATAGCTTTTAACTGAGTTCATGGACAAGAATCATGTATGGGTTTGTGAGTAAATGCATTTACTGGGCACATAATGGATTCTTGTAAATGAGTGCTTCATTCTTCATCTCAATCTTTCTCTCCTTTTCTTTTTTTTTTTTCTTTTATAGGACAGAAGGGTATAGAAAAGTCCCCTACCATTACTATGAACAAGGAAGAGATGAGTGTGATGAATATTTTCTTCATGAACATGCCCCATATGGGGGTCATAGGTTTATCACTGAAAAGAAAGTGTTTGCTAAATGGGCCAAGAAGCACAGGATAATATTTACACATCCAAACTGGACATTGTCTTGATAATGGTTTTTCTGATCTTGCCACATCACTTAACGTGATCCCCATACTGCGACTGTGATGCTGATGATGCTAATGGAGATGATGGTAACGATAAAGACAACAACAATGATTATCAAGTTCCTGTACACTCTCAGATGTGGATGGTGACTCTGCTAGTAATTCAAACTCAGCATTTCATGGAGGATGGTTGTGCTCATGATGTTCTTTCTGGAGGTTCAACACTACATACCGCACTTTATAATTTAACTGGAATTGAGATGAAGGCCAGTGACATGACAACTGTGACCTAAGAAATGGGAAGATTATCCTTCAAGATAGCTGCCTAGAATTGTTCAACAGTGAGTAACTTCCAAAAGCCAAAAGAGTTTGGCCTCATGAGGCAAGGTGACTGACTCAATGGCTTCTTGAATCTCAGCAGCTCCGCCATCTTGAAGAATGATTGATTTTTCAAACACTGACCCAAGAACTGCTATCAGGGTGCAAGTATCTTACTAGTTAGCCTAAGGACGGGAAAATATCACTTCCTAATATGCCATCTTTCAACAGTATTTCCTACAGCTAAAGCCTCAGGCCATTGCCTAATTAACAATGAAGATTTCATGGACGTCCTACACTTCAGGATTACTTGACTATCCCAAACACATAAATCAAAATGGGCTAAGTAGCAAATCTTGATGAATTTCCACTCTTACCATCCATTCTTACTACAGACAATATAACTGAACATGTGATTAGAATGACCTATATTAATGTTTAGTTATTTTTGGTTGAGTCCTAAATATTTCAGAAGGCTACTTAACATGTAAGATACCAACTTCAACACTGTAATAACATATACTGTGAAAACATTCCTAAAACATAACCAAAGGGTTTACTAACTCTGCTTCAACATCCAACAACACAAAACCGTATGATTTTTAAAATCATGAAACAGAGAAAGCAAAGCATATTTTTACATCAATTTGTATCCTATCATACTTCATAATATATATTTGTATATTCAAATTGCTATTTTTTAGGCCCAAGATGTGTTTCTGTAAACATTACATTCTCATTGCCAAGTGCCAACTGTTAGACATGGAGAGGAAATGATTCCTTATATTAAACCTGACCAGAGCTTTTGCCTTGTAGGATTTTATTTTTCCCATAGTGTGTCCGTTGTTATGCCACAATAACAACAATAATAATGACCTTAATGTCCAAGGTACTTTGTCATTTACAGTCCTTTAACATCTGTTATACCATGTGATGCCCCTGAACACCCCATTGGGCTATTGTCTGTGTATTCTGCTATCTCTTTAGCAGATGATCTGTAATTTGGTCATTGTTCTGTTATATTCCAGATTGCTCTACTTGCTAATATTTGTATAGAATAGAATTTATGTAAACTAGTAACCAGTTGATCTCTGTGCCAAATACATTATATCAGGATTACACAAAAAGTATCACAAAGGATGGTCTTGGCCATATGCTAGGACCCCTGTGAAAATAAGTAGTTTTAAGTAGTTTTTCTATATACATATATATACGTGTGATTCTATTTAGGGGGGGAAAGATGAAAAAGCAGGGACAACGGGAGGAAATGAAGGCAGAGAAATATAGTTTCCTGTCCTAGGGTTGAGACAATTCTATTTTTCATATACTCATTGCTCATTAAATATTAAAGGGATGATTTGTTGAGAGAGTAGCTGAGAGTTCAAAAACATCCTTGCAGAATGATTCAAAAGACAAAAGCCAGGCTCAACTTACAGAATGTTTTGGAGACTGGAAGTAATGATACATTTCACTTCAGAAGCACTTGTAGATATTTACTAGTGCTAAGTATTATGGTGAGCTATCATTAAAATGTGCCATCTTGGATAAAGGCCTTTTGCCTGCTGTCTTCTGCCATTTTGATACCTCAATATTCACACCCATAAAAATTACTAAGCCCCAGTTCTATCCTCGGAAGGAGTTGTTATTCTGTTGTTGTTCCCTTATGCAATTTTTAATTCTATGAATGTTAAGTATTTTTGAACTAATGATAGATAGAAATGCCTACTGAAAGAAAAATAAACAGAGACAAATGTTAAAATTGCCATATAGACTGTTTTTCCCCCTGTTGTTTCACCTTAAAATAAAAAGAAATCCTTGATTAATCAGAATGCCTTGGGACATGAACTTAATTTATTTAGTTTTCTAATAAATGAAGGGCCAACTCTTATTTGTTTTAATCCCTGCTGATGAGAAACATTTGAAAACTTGCTTGCTCTCCTGCCTCGTTGTAGCTTTCTCTGATGAAGACTTTTGCAGTATATTGTATCCTTCACTCTATGGCGGAAGTTGTGTGTGGAATATGTAGACTCCAGTGTTTTCTTAGGAGGGGTGGAAAGGGGCTTTTTATTCTCTCCTCTCCTCTCCTCTTTCTTTCCTTTCTTTTTGCATCTAAACTGCTACTCTACATTTTGTATTGTTGTTTTCTTTGTCTTTTTCTTTCTACAAACAGGAAACAAACAAACAAAAAAGCACAGGGTTTTCTCAATTTGGAAACTCAATTGAATGATTTCCAGTATAATCAGCATTTTGATAGAATCTCACAACTTATTTTTCTCTGCTTTTATTTCCTGTTTTTCTTTGTTCCATCTTTCTAATTCTAGTGAAAATTCAAAGTCTAATTTCTCCCATGTTGAGAATAAATTTTTCATCTATGATTTACTGATAGAGAAGAGCTTGGTAAGGGAGCAATTCAAGGAGACTATTTTGCCATGCAAATTTCTGATCAATTCCCACAGATTCTGGTGAAATGAAAGATATTCTATCCAACATTTAAACATTGAAAAATTTAACTGAACTTACTTATCACTGATGTGTATTTATCCCAGAAACTAATATGTGAAAAATAAAAATATTTCAATACTATCCGTGGCTCTAGGAAAATGAACTATAAAAATGGGTCACAATTTTTCTGAAATTGGCATGAAAACATTCAAGATAAAAATAATAGACTAAATATCATTTTCTATTCTGCATAATTCTATGAAAAAGCAAGGTAATTTTTAAAAAGTTTTAAAATTTAAATCTTTTCCAATTTAACCAAGTGAGAAGTAGTAATGATTTACATTGTTATGATGATAATGTGAATAAGAAACCTTTTAGAGTATATGATTTTACATTGCTATCAAAGCTATCAAAGAAAAAGCAATTGGGATTTGGAGGAATGTTTGTATATATGCACATAGAGTCCATTTGTGTGTGTGAACACACATATATATACATTATATACTTATAACTATATATAAAGGCATGTGTATAATCCTATATTCTTCACTGGTGCATGTGAATCATAGAAAACCCTATTTTAGACCTCATCTGAAATTTGTTGGGTTACATTTTGAATCCTGATGAAAAAAGCAAAAATCCACATTAAATGGACTGATTGCTAAGAGTACATAAAATCATATTCAAAAGCTGGCCAGAAGAATAAAGCTAGAGAAGCTGCTAAATCTAGAAAACACAATTAGATGCCACAGTTGTCACAAATCAGACTTGTAAGTATAGCAATCTGTATTGTGGGTTCTGCCGATTGCAGGCTTAGCTAAAGTCACATTGAAAAACATTGCATCAAGCTTCATTCACACTGAAGTAAATGAACATTGGTCCTCCTATTCAAATAAGCCAGTCTTTAGCATAAGCAAAATCCAGATTTGCATGATTTTTATTATATAGCTAGAGAACTGTGACCACTGTGAAAAAGGAAATTTATATAAAGAGATTGCTCTTGGAGGATTTGGTATGAATCAGCTGAGGTAGGAACAAGAGTCTGAATTGGGGACCTGCTAACCTTCCAAGAAGTAAAAGACCATCAGAAGAGAAAGACTGTTACTTAGAAAAGAGACAGCACTAAAGTACTTCACCTGGTAGTGTTAATTGGATGTTAATTATGAGGTGGGTTTAATTTCAATAAGCGAGAAAATATAATCAGATGACTGATTTTAAAAAAGAACAAAAACAACGGGCCCATCTAGCCTTTAATGGGACATGTTAAATGCAAACAATAAATTATGTTATTCAGTGTCCGTTGTTTGCATGGCTTAGCACAACAAAGGATTTACAGTCTGGGGGCCAGGAGGGAAAAAATGTTTTTTTCTTAAAACAGCATATTTAAAAGACAAGACCTCATCATTTTAATCGTGTACATAGATTACTGACTGAAGGAGCCAGTGCTAGCCTTTGTAAGTAGTGTAGAATTTTAGAGCTGAAAGAGATTTTAAAGACCAGCCAATTCAACTCCTACACCTTGGAGCTGAGGAAACAGACAGAGGTGAAGTGATTTGCCTGTAGTAATAAACTGGACTAATGGCAGTACTGAGACTCAAATTCTTGTCTCATGTTTTCTTCTCTGGTAATTTTTCCACTACACTTTTTAGACAGAAGAGTAGCTGGAAAAAAAAATGCCTAACTGATTTTACTAAAGAGTCTATTCATGGAATCCAAGGGCTCCAAATTGTATTAATTCTGCTCAGGATGAGCACACTGAAGTGGAGCAATATTTTCATAATTGAAGGAACATATCCCATTGATTGTCTACACTCTGTTCTCTCTGTTTGTTGCTATTGGTAAGGCGAGGCTATGTTCTGTTATCACAAAATTCTAGGACTTGTTTAAAGAACATAAAGTTGAGTTTCTTACTTTCTCTTTGTAATTGAGGATGAGCAAGCCATTGATACACCAAGAGCTGTTGAGTGTTGGAGGTTGCCTGGTGAAACTGGCAGGTCCTGTTGCTGACATTTCCCCAGAGCTAAAGTGTCCTCATATTCAAACCAACTCTGCTGCTCAAGTTAGTGAAATTATTCAACAGCACTAACACTACCCCTTTGGGTTCATGCTCATCCCTGCGCTATATGTGACCTTTGAACCTAGATACCCTTCTGGAAGGTGAACGAAAGCCCCAAATGTCCCTCAAGACTTAGTCTGCATAAAGCATTGAAAAGGATTTTTTTTTCTCTACAGTACATTTATATGATACTGTTAGAAGTGAAGAATTTTGAAACTACATACAATGGCCTCTGAAAATGGTTCCTGTGGCTCAGAAATGGTATATTGTTCTGTTGCTTGTTTTTGCTGAACTGTAGAGAAAACACCAGAGTAAAATTCCATGTAAATTGCTAAGGCATCGAATCAGAACTGTCCTTGGGCATTGTAACAGTGCAGAAAATCTCATTCAGTTTTTTTCTTTTTTTTAGTTAACTACTTTTTTGTTTCCTTTCAGAATAGGCACTTTTTTTTTTTTTTTTTTTTTTGAGTAGAAAAGCTCTTCTTTCTCCACAGATACGTCTCTTTTTGTTCACACCTTGGATTCTTCAGAAAATAGAAGCTCACTTCCTTCCATAAAGGTGAAGAACATCTTGATGAATAAACAGTCAACTACCAAGTTCACATATTTACCTATGTAGTGAAAGCTGTTTCTAAGAAACTTCAAAGGGATCAAAATGAGGCAATTTTATAGCTTTTTGTTACCTAATCTACAAAGTACTAATTTCCTTGTGTTTAGCTTTGTTGTCACTGTTACTGAGTAAATACCCATTTCTGTTACATACGGAACATTTTTTGCTTCACTCATTTTCCTGAGTTCCCATGATTTTTTTCTGTAGTTTCTCATTCATTTTAAAACCTGTAATCTTCATCTATTTTTAGAAGAAACTGTAAATTCACAGTTGTACATTTGTTGAGAGTTTTTATGACATTATAGTGCTTTATTTATAAGCATTGTGTCTTAGAATAAAGCTTACAAAATGGCAAAGGGCTATTGGCATATTTCAGTTTGTTTTACAACAGGACAAGTAAGGATATGTTAACAAAGCCAGAGGAAAAAGGGGGTATGGGATTTTTAATATAGTTGATATCCAAGTCAGAAACATATCCAGGATACTACTACAAACAATAACAAGATAAAATGTTAGTCTGCCTCTGGAATTTGTTTTGTCCATATTAACTGTCTGATGCTGACATATATTTCTTTTTTGGCTATGCCAGACATATTAACAGAGTTGAGTTAGCACATAAGCTGCATAAAACAAAGAAATCTTCCTTCGTTCCTCCCTTCCTTCCCTATTCCTTACTTTCCTCCCCACTCTTCTCATTTTCTTTCCACAAAACTCAACACTCTTGCAGTTGAATGTCAAATTTGGATAATTTTTCTTTTAACAAATCAGCTTATCGTTATCTATCCAACTCTATAAGAGATCCATATTTGGAAATGATCTCAAAATGAGAGTCATCTTTGGAAATAATGACTTCCAATAACTTATATGCCAGGCTTATTGAAGGGCTGTATATCTCATTCAGTTTCCCCAATACTTTATGAGGTACATAATGTTACCATCACCATTTCACATATAAGGAAACTGAAGCACTAGCAAGATTAAATAGCTTGCCCATGGTCACACAGCTTTTGATGAAATGAGATTGGAACCAAAGCAGTTTGGCCCAGAGTCCATACCCATTTGGGGAAGGCTAATAAATGTAACCAATAACACCCCAAATTTCAGTAGCTTAAGAGAATAAGATTTGTTTCTCTCTTGAACATAAATTCTACATAGATGCTCCTCTCCAACCAGCTTGTTTCCAAGGGTGACTCAGATACAAAGACACTTTCCATCATATGGCTTTGCCCTCCTCCAGGTCCTTTGAGTCCTCTCTGTTTGGCCTACTAAAAAGGAAAGAGCAAAAGGGAGCTTGTGCTGGAAGGTTTTTATGGGCAAGTCTGGAAGTGATGTATATCACTCCACCCACATTCTATTGGCCAGCCTTGCTCACGTGGCTTGGTATGCGCAATGCTATCTAAATGTGTAGGAAAAGAATTTGAAGAACATGTAGCTGTTTCTGCCAGATATTCTTAGTTATGATGACACAATAGCTGAAAAAGAAAAATGAGTTTTGTGCAGCTCTATGGGTGAGTTGTTTTGATAATCCTTGTTCAAGCACTAGAAACACTTCAGAAAAAAATTTTTGTATATGGATATTAGTACCCACACCAGAACAAGAATAAAATAAGGAACAATATATTGCTCCAGGTTGTATTATACCAGGAAGAGAGAATATGGTTTCTTTTGCTCAAGGAAGCAAGAGAGAAACTGGTACACAAGAAACACTTTTAAGTGACTGAACTCTACCCACAATAGAAGTAATGTGACTTTTAAAGTCTTAGTGATCCGTGGTTAAAGTAGGATAGATGCGCCCTCACCTCTGATAAACCCCTTGTTTTTGTGCCTATTTCCCTTGCAAGATGTCACAGAGATTCACCTTTTTTTCAGCTGTCCTTTGGTCTTCAGGTCTATGCAGCACTGTGATATTTTTTACTGAAGAAAATATAATTGCTATTTCTTGAATCGTAAATTTAGGAATTTCTCTCATTCATCTTTTTTATTTGTTAACATTGACATACGAACTTAATAAAGGTACTTACATGCCTTAAAAAGACTAGACACACCACAAGATCACAGGGCATATTTCTATAAAGAGAGGACCTTACATGCATTCTGTCCCTCACTCTTCTTCACTTCCCGAGACTTTCTACTCTTTGACATCATTTTCTTTAAGCTATCTAGGAATCCTTTTCCCTTAACACTAACAGAATTTTGCATCCTAGAGGGGTTTTTTTGTTTTGTTTTGTTTTGTTTTTTGTTTTGTTTTTTTGCCTAACAGGAAACTATTTGCTATCTTGGGGAAAGTACTTTGCATGCTAGCATATAAATTTTCTTAGTTTGTCCATTGAGGGAGATTAGCTGAGACTCTAAAAGCAATATAATTAGAGAAGAGAATCTGCCAATGTTTACCTTCTTTCAGATTAATGAGAAATTTCTTTTAAGGACAAGAAACTTTACTGTCTAGTTGGTAAATGACATAGGTTTGAATCTCTTTCTAAGAGTTGTAATTGATGATAATAATATTCTGTGGTGCTTTACAAGGATAAATTGTTTAGTTTAATCAGAGTGTTGGCTCTCACTGTCCATAAGTCCATGGGCAAACGTCTTGACTAATACAATCATGGAGTATATACCAGCAGAACCTTACACCATGCATTGTTGAGAGTTCTTGCTCTATATTTGATAACACTTTTCAAATATGCCATTTTCCATGATTACAAAATTGCTTAATCTTTTGAAATAATTTTCCTACAAATGTCTAAATTTCTCCAGAAGTAGAACATATACAATCAGATTTACTTGGAATGATCTTCCTTAGTCAGTGGTGTTTTCCTTCAAATTAAAATGGTTTGGACAACACATCTTTTGGTGATGCTGGTTATGATGACTTTCCTTCCTAGTAAAAATAAAAATAAAAAAGGGGTGAGGGGAAATACTCTACAATCTTTGATGGATAAAAGGGCATTAATGTTGGATGAGGACACTAATGTCACGCAAATGTATCAGTGAAATATGCACAACTGTGCCTGGCTGTTCAATAAGGAACAGAAAAAAATTAAAACTTTCAACAGCACGACATATGGACTCAATAAAACCAAATGAAATTTGATAGGAACAAATGTAAAGCCAAACAAAAAGGCTTTTAGGTTCAGAAAATACAGGAGCATGACTTTATAACAGTAGTCATGGAAAATATTTGGAGGTATAGAACACTGTAATAGAAGATATAGCAATGAAAAGGTCACTAGGACCCTGATACATACACAAAGAGTCTAAGAACAAAACAGCAAGGTTCAGGACTGGAAGTGTTTTTAAAACTTGTTTTTTGTTTTCGTTTTTGAGATGGGGTCTCATTCTGTGGCCCAGGCTGGAGTGCAATGGTGCAATCTCAGCTCACTGCAACCTCTGCCTCCCGGATTTAAGCAATTCTCCTGCCTCAGCCTCCCGTCTACCTGGAATTACAGGTGTGCCCCACCATGCCCAGCTAAGTTTTCTATTTTTGTAGAGATGGGGTTTCACCACGTTGGCCAGACTGCTCTTGAACTCCTGTCCTCAAGTGATACACCCACCTCACCCTCACAAAGTGTTGGGATTACAGACCTGAGCCACCATGCCCAGCAAAACTTATTTTTATTCAATGTCTGATTGGACAGGTAATATATTTTCATTGTCAGAAACATTGAAGACAGAAAGGTATGATACCTATTATTGCACTTCCCAGGGTTCATTCAGTATTTTTCTATAGATATTATTGATAAAAATATATATATAATGGTGTTTTATAGCCTGCTGTGTCTTATTAATAAGGAATTACAAGCATTTTCTCAAAGTCATTAAAGTATCCTAATATTCAGTAGCTACATTGTGCCCTAAGCTATTTAACGATTTCCCCCAGTCACTTTTCTTTTTATGCTAAACAGTTTTGTTAATGAATTTTTGAACATTTCTCTGATTATTTCTTTTTATTGCATCAGCATACAGTGGTGCCTGCTTCCCTGAACCCTTGCCAAAAATGATGGGATTCTTCAACCTTGCCGACTTTATGTATGCAAAACAAGGTTATCTTCTTTTAATTAGCATTTAATTGATTACTATGGAAATTTAAAATTTTACATATTTATAGGAAACTAACGTGTCTTCTTACACGAATAAGCTCTTCCTATACTTTATCCATTCTTCTACTGCAGTAGAAGTCACCACAATATAAAGAAACCGACAATTGAGAATTCTTTCAAAAAAGAGGAAACAGGTTGAGATCAACCAGGATCATGTGGAAACTAGAAATTATATCACACCAGGAGTTGGAAACCCTTAGCCAGATTAATAGACTGTTTTAGAGAGAACAAAATTCAAATACTTAAAAGGCATCAATGCAGGTGCAAAATTAAAGTCTATGATTCTATTGGACATAATAGAGCCAATGAGTAAGATTTCAGACTTTATCTCAGGAGAGCATTCAGAAGAGTCTAAAATTAGAGTGTGAATTTTTAGGATGAATGAAATTGTGTTAAGTATTTGCAGATAGATCACCCCACTTTTCAATAATTCGTGTGTTTATGTAGCTAGTTGAACTCAGTGACCACCTAGGTCCCTTCCAAAGTACACGTTCTATGAAATAGGATGCAACTTTTATGCACCAAAGCCCGATTTCACACTGAAACTCTGAAAAAAATAACACACTAAAATGTTTACCCTTGTCTTAGCAGCAGCATATTCAGAAGCCATCTCTTAAAAAAGGTTATTTCTGATGATGACAAATTTCACCTAGTTCATATTCAGAACTGGTTCCCAAGTTCTGGAAGTGCATTCAATTAACGGTGGGTATAAGGACACACACACATACACTCCTCTCGACAACCTCCCCCCACCGGCCCCCAGCTCTACTACTGCCAATCACTGATTTCATTGTCATAATGCTTCACAAAAAGGTGTAAGTTCCTTTGCTTCACAGTGTGAAAAATTCATTCACATTTCATACATCCATATTTTTATATACTTGCTATGTGATATGTATTTGAAATGTAATGACTCAAGAAAATTACATTTAGTATTATAGCATTTCTCATGTTGGTAATTTATGATAATGGATGTCACTGTAGATTTAAGAGTCATTTATATTGTCCACCTTTTCCTATTTCTGCTAGATTAAATAAATTCTTCATATCGAATTTTGTTGCATTTTTCAGTTTTCTTGTCTGTACCATTCACTTTCAGTATATTTATAACCCTTTTATCTGGTCTTTGTAGTTTCAAAATGATGCCTTGGATATTTTAAGTTTAGAGCAATCAATGTCCTTTTCAAATTGCCCTCTTAAGATTTTTGTAAAATAATATTCTCCATAATACAACTTTAAATTACCTACCTTTTCCTTTA